TTCCAACCAGTCCAAACCCCACAGTTATTACCTTTTGTACCACCAGCCCCTCCCTCTTAGATTGTAAGCTCCCAGGATCAGGGCCCTCCTATCCCTCTTGTATTGAACTGTATTGTTGCTGTATTGTCTCCCGTTATATTGTAAAGCACTGAGCAAACTGTTGGCGCCATAAATCCTGTATAATAATAATAATGGAGAACATAGGGATGTTTATGGTCAGATTGAAGTACCAGGATGCAGAAAATGTTCCATCATCCTTCTAATCTGTATGGCTTGTGAATGGCTTTTATGGAGGCTTGGAAATAACCAAGAAATGTTTCGTACATCCCCACGGTCCTTGCTGGTCATTGGAGCTCTGTGATAGATATGATTACCTTCTAGCAATTAATGAGAACTACATACTGCAGATTACATCGCACTGCCAACTACCAGAACACCGCCAACCATGGCTGAACCTGTTTCCACCCAAAATGGCAGCCAGTATGGTGTAATGTCCAGCACAGCAATGGTGGTTGTAATGTCAGATATCTCAGATCTTTGGTTCCTCCTGGTTGGCATTCTAATCTTCACATGAAGAAAAGTTGAGATCTGTGAATAAAACACATTGTAGTATCAGAAGATTGTGTGTGAATGTCTACCTCGCTCCCGTTGTCACATATCCGTCTCTTCTTATCTCTTGTTCCCCACAGGTTGCCCTACGCGGGGTACTTTGGCGGAGTCTCGGGGTTGAGTAAAGCTCAGTTCTTGAAGATAAATGGTTTTCCCCAACGAGTACTGGGGCTGGGGGGGAGAAGATGATGACATTTACAACAGGTTGGTGAGATTTACCGCAATCGTATCTGGGAGATAGATATCTGAGCCATCTACACAGATTGTTGTAAAGGAGAGACAGGAAAGGGCTGGTGATGTCACAGACGTGTCTCTTTGTATGATGATTCATGATGTTATTTCTTGATTGTCTCCTACCACAGTGCCCTCTGCATCCACACTTTCTTCTCAATATATATATATATATATATATATATATATATATACACACACAGGGGGTATAAAAAGTCTACACACCCTGATAAAATGTCAAGTTTCTGTGATGTAAAAAAAACGAGACAAAGATAAATAATTTCAGAACTTTTTCCTCCTTTAATGTGATCTATAAACTGTACAACTCAGTTGAACAACAAACTGAAATCTTTAACCTCCTCCCGTCCGGCCGTTGTATATAAACGGCCGGACGGTGGCAGTGCAGAGTCGGGTGGCCATTTATAAATGGCCTCCCCGCCCCCTGCTTGTGCGCGCTGCCCGGGAGCGCACAGCACCGCTCCGGACACAGTGGAACACCGATCGTCGGCCAATCAGTGATCACATGAAGAATAGTAAACAAGATGTCACTTCTGACATCATTGCTTACTATGTGTGAAATCTGTGAATGATCACAGAGATCACATGGTACAGGGCTATTCACAATAGCCTTGTACGATGTGACAAGCTGTGGCCAATCACAGCTCTCACAGTATTCCTCAATGGCTGCAAGAATGCAGCCAGAGAGAAGGAGAAATGGTTGCTTTTGCAGCCTTTATGGGTGTAAAAAAAAAAAAAATCTTCATCACTGTACTGGTAGGGTGACAGCATGTAAAAAAAAAATAATAATATAAAAAAAAATAAAAATGTAAAAAAAATGTTTAAAATTATAGTTTTTGGTTATAAACTAATTTGGGTTATTTTTTTTTTTACTAAAAAGATAACAGAATACATTTTGGCCGAGATTTATGATGTAATATTGTTTATTAGCAAAATTTTATAACAAAAACACTTTTTTTTCAACATTTTTGGACTTTTTCACTTAGCAAAAAAAAAAAAAAATCCCAGTGGTGAATAAATACCACCAAAATAAAGCTTAATCTGTCTCAAAAAAATGCAAAAAAAAATTAATATGGGTACAGTGTTGCATGACCGCGCAATTGTAATTCAAAGTGTGACAGTGCTGAAAGCTGAAAATTGGCCTGGACAGGAAGGGGGGGAAAGTGTCCGGACTGGAAGGGGGGGGAAAGTGTCCGGACTGGAAGGGAGTGAAAGTGTCCGGACTGGAAGGGGGTGAAAGTGTCCGGACTGGAAGGGGTGAAAGTGTCCGGACTGGAAGGGGGTGAAAGTGTCCGGACTGGAAGGGGGTGAGAGTGTCCGGACTGGAAGGAGGTGAAAATGTCCGGACTGGAAGGGGGTGAAAGTGTCCGGACTGGAAGGGGGGGGTGAAAGTGTCCGGACTGGAAAGGGGTGAGAGTGTCCGAACTGGAAGGGGGGTGAAGGTGTCCGGACTGGAAGGGGGTGAAAGTGTCCGGACTGGAAGGGGGTAAAAGTGCCCGGACTGGAAGGGGGTAAAAGTGCCCGGACTAGAAGGAGGTGAAAATGTCCGGACTGGAAGGGGGTGAAAGTGTCCGGACTGGAAGGGGGGTGAAAGTGTCCGGACTGGAAGGGGGGGAAAGTGTCCGAACTGGAAGGGGGTGAGAGTGTCCGAACTGGAAGGGGGGTGAAGGTGTCCGGACTGGAAGGGGGTGAAAGTGTCCGGACTGGAAGGGGTAAAAGTGCCGGACTAGAAGGGGGTGAAAGTGTCCGGACTGGAAGGGGGTGAAAGTGTCCGGACTGGAAGGGGGTAAAAGTGCCCGGACTGGAAGGGGGTAAAAGTGCCCGGACTGGAAGGAGGTGAAAATGTCCGGACTGGAAGGGGGTGAAAGTGTCCGGACTGGAAGGGGGGTGAAAGTGTCCGGACTGGAAGGGGGGGGGAAAGTGTCCGGACTGGAAGGGGGTGAGAGTGTCCGAACTGGAAGGGGGGTGAAGGTGTCCGGACTGGAAGGGGGTGAAAGTGTCCGGACTGGAAGGGGGTAAAAGTGCCCGGACTAGAAGGGGGTGAAAGTGTCCGGACTGGAAGGGGGTGAAAGCGTCCGGACTGGAAGGGGGTAAAAGCGCCCGGACTGGAAGGGGGTGAAAGCGTCCGGACTGGAAGGGGGTGAAAGCGTCCGGACTGGAAGGGGGTGAAAGCGTCCGGACTGGAAGGGGGTGAAAGCGTCCGGACTGGAAGGGGGTGAAAGCGTCCGGACTGGAAGGGGTGAAAGCGTCCGGACCGGAAGGGGGTGAGAGCGTCCGGACCGGAAGGGGGTGAGAGCGTCCGGACCGGAAGGGGGGGAAAGCGTCCGGACCGGAAGGGGGTGAAAGCGTCCGGACCGGAAGGGGGGGGGAAAGCGTCCGGACCGGAAGGGGGGTGAGAGCGTCCGGACCGGAAGGGGGTGAGAGCGTCCGGATCGGAAGGGGGTGAGAGTGTCCGGACTGCAAGGGGGTGAGAGTGTCCGGACTGCAAGGGGGTGAGAGTGTCCGGACATGAAGTGGTTAAGGTGGAGGGAAGTAAAAATAAAAACTAAAATAATCTGGTTGCATAAGTGTTCACACACCCTTACACTGATCCTTTGGTGAAGCCCCTTTTGATGTGATTCCAGCACTCAGTCTTTATGAGGAGGAGTCTATCAGCACGGCACATCCTGACTTGGCAATATTTTCCCGCTCTTCCTTGTAAAAACACTCCGGATCTGTCAGATTGCGTGTCATCTCCTGTGCACAGCCCTCTTCGGATCACCCCACAGATTTTCCAGTTGCTCCAATTCCAGTCGGGGCGAATCACATTATGACAGATTTGTATATCTATCTGCTCAGATCTGTCCTGTTCAGATCCAGTGCAGGAGAACAACGGGTTGAACCCAACCGCTACCCCCACTGTCTGTAGTGTGCTCATAACTACCCCTTTAGTGGGCTTCCATCAACTGATTTATAGAATAGATGTGAAGGAGGTCCACCTCATGTAGGGTTCTCATGAAAGTGTCCTAATGTTCTCTAGACCTCATCTCTGTCTGGACATGGGGGGGGGGGGGGGGGGGGGGGGCGCTACACATGCCGATTACATATGCGGGATATGCTTCCTGCTCCGTAGTGCTGCACAAAGTCTGTGTCTTACCGATCCTCTTCTTCTTCACTTTGTTTCCCTCCGTATTCTCTGCCCAGCTGGTGGGACCTCTGCTGAAGCTGATAGTCAACCAAACGTTGGAGTGAAAAAAATGTAATTTATTTTCCCGTCTTGTAAAATTGTGGACGGAAGGAAGAAATTGCATTGTGTTCTGCCGGAATAAAGACGATAAACCGCATTTGTTGGACTGATGTGAAAGAAATATTATTATACAAAGCCCCGGGGCTCTAGAGGCGCATTGCTGAGCGCTCATTGCAACAGATACCGCATAGAAATCACGAGCGCCTTATGACCCCACCTGTGACTGCGCCGTGTGTATACCGATATATATATATACTGATCTGAAAATATAGATTGATATTAAATCATGGACTCTGTAAAATATACAGTATGTACTTAGCAATGAAAATCCAGGAGCTGGTGGAGGTGAATGGTGGAAGAAAGAGCCAAGGAACCCAAAAACGGCAAAATATGAACCGCACAGCGCAACTGGCATCATCGCTTTTAAAGTGACCCGGCCGGGTTCAAAAAGGATCAGGAATTAGAGCGATGTTAGTTATACGCTGTGAATGCATTAGTGTCAAAAATGTCAAAGTAGAAAGAAAGGCAAAACGTTTTGTTTTTTTTTTCATTTTGGATAGAGCAAGGGATTGCAACCCCTGGTGGTCAGGTGTTCCACTGGGGAGATTTCCTTTCACTTCCTGTCCCATAGCTTGAACCCTCCGTTTCCTGTAATAGAAGAGGTACTATACCCCCCTCTCCGGTGTCCCGTGTCTCCTACCTCCCCTCCATTCCCTGTCATAGAAGAGGTATTATACCCCCCTCTCCGGTGTCCCGTGTTTCCTACCTCCCCTCCGTTCCCTGTAATAGAAGATATTATACCCCCCTCTCCGGTGTCCCGTGTTTCCTACCTCCCCTCCGTTCCCTGTAATAGAAGATATTATACCCCCCTCTCCGGTGTTCCGTGTCTACTACCTCCCTCCGTTCCCTGTAATAGAAGATATTATACCCCCCTCTCCGGTGTCCCGTGTCTACTACCTCCCCTCCATTCCCTGTAATAGAAGAGGTATTATACTCCCCTCTCCGGTGTCCCGTGTCTCCTACCTCCCCTCCGTTCCCTGTAATAGAAGAGGTATTATACCCCCCCCCCCCCGGTGTCCCGTGCCTCCTACCTCCCCTCCGTTCTCTGTAATAGAAGATATTATACCCCCCTCTCCGGTGTCCCGTGTTTCCTACCTCCCCTCCGTTCCCTGTAATAGAAGATATTATACTCCCCTCTCCGGTGTCCCGTGTCTACTACCTCCCCTCCATTCCCTGTAATAGAAGAGATATTATACCCCCCTCTCCGGTGTCCCGTGTCTCCTACCTCCCTCCGTTCCCTGTAATAGAAGAGGTATTATACTCCCCTCTCCGGTGTCCCGTGTCTCCTACCTCTCCTCCGTTCCCTGTAATAGAAGAGGTATTATACCCCCCCCCCCCCAGGTGTCCCGTGTCTCCTACCTCCCCTCCGTTCCCTGTAATAGAAGAGGTATTATACTCCCCTCTCCGGTGTCCCGTGTCTCCTACCTCCCCTCCATTCCCTGTAATACAAGATATTATACTCCCCTCTCCGGTGTCCCGTGTCTCCTACCTCCCCTCCATTCCCTGTAATAGAAGAGGTATTATACCCCCCTCTCCGGTGTCCCGTGCCTCCTACCTCCCCTCCGTTCCCTGTTATAGAAGAGGTATTATACTCATACATAGACAGGGGGTGGAAGTCTCTTGGGGTATAATATAGATGGGGGGGCAGCAGGGAGGGGGGTTGTGTCAGATGCCATTTATTAATGGACATACATTGCAGCCGACACATTGTATGAAATGGATATAAATGTTTCTGTCTGTTCTCCAGGATAACACTGAACGGTATGAAAGTGTCCCGACCCGACATTCGCATTGGACGGTACCGGATGATCAAACACGAGCGAGATAAGCACAATGAACCCAATCCTCAACGGTAATTCATGATTGCCCCCACCTGGATATAATCTGTATACTTGTATACCCCAAGGTGTGGCCTTGCATCCTTTTCTTTGCTCTTTCTGTCCTTTGAGAACTGTAGAGATGCCACTGAGGTCCCGCTCATTCAGAATTCCTTTCTTTGCTTCGTATATTACCAGAAAAAAGTGCAGACAGTCTCTCTTCATGTCTCACACTTACTGTGGTATACTTTGTGTTGTACATGGATCCAAAAACACAACAGAAGGCATGTGCTGTACAAAAATGATTAATCCAATCAACCAGATATAAAGAAATGTTAACCTTCTGTTTTTTTTAATAATGGAGTGCTGTATCTGCACCCCCAACATTGCACCCCTCCAAAAGCCTGCACCCCCAACAATCAGTCTCTGCATACCCCTGTCCGTGCAGCTCTGACCTCCACACGTCCCTGTCCCTGCACCTCTGACCTCCACACGTCCCTGTCCCTGCACCTCTGACCTTCACACGTCCTGTCCCTGCACCTCTGACCTCCACACGTCCCTGTCCCTGCACCTCTGACCTCCACACGTCCCTGTCCCTGCACCTCTGACCTCCACACGTCCCTGTCCCTGCACCTCTCCAAATTCTGCACCCCCTGTCCCTGCATCTCTGACCTTCACTCATCCCTGTCCCTGCACCTCTCCAAATTCTACACCCCCCTGTCCCTGCACCTCTGATCTTCACTTGTCCCTGTCCCCGCATCTCTGACCTTCACTCATCCCTGTCCCTGCACTTCTGACCTTCACTCGTCCTTGTCCCTGCATCTCTGACCTCCACACGTCCCTGTCCCTGCACCTCTCCAAATTCTGCACTCCCCTGTCCCTGCACCTCTGACCTTCACTCGTCCCTGTCCCTGTCCCTGTACCTCTCCAAATTCTACACCCCCCTGTCCCTGCACCTCTGACCTTCACTCCCTGTCCCTGCATCTCTGACCTTCACTCGCCCCTGCACCTCTCCAAATTCTGCACTTCCTATCCCTGAACCCCCAAACTCTGTACCCGTGCAAGCTCTGCACGCCCCTTTCTCTGCACCCCAAACCCCAGACTCTGCACTGCACCACCCAATCTCTCCTCCTTCCTGTCCCAGCACCCTTCAACCTCTCCTTAACTCTGCATTGTCCTTGCACCCCCCTCCAAATTCTACACCCCTCTCTTTAATCACTGCACCCCAATGTTCATGCATCCCCAAACTCTGCACTTTCCTGTCCCTGCACTCCCTAAATTCTAGAGCCCCTCAAACACAGCACCCCCAGCCTCTGCACCCCTCACACTCTGTACTTCCTGCTACAGCATCCCCCCCCCCCCCCAGCCTCCCCCAAACATTGTACTTCCCTGTCCCTGCACACCCACCTCAAATTTTTACACCCCCCCCCAAAACAAACTGCACTCCCATAGTCCCTGTATCTACACAGTACCCCAAAAAATTCTGCTCAACCACTGCACCCCACTGTCCCGGCACCTCTCCACAACCCCTCCCCCACCAGTCTCTCACCAGTTTTCCTCTCTAGGCTAGATCCCCTCGTTCTCTGCACCCCCCCCGATTTCCCCACCCCTCCCCCGGGCTATTTCACGAAGGCTGGAATGGTCTGTCTGTTCTCAGGGTCACCTTCACAGATCTATGTATGGTGTACCCCCGTCCCGGTCTATAGATGTAAGATGCCCGATTGGGTGATCATGTCTATGAGGTACCCCGCAGGCTCCGCTCATTGAGGCATTCCTGGGGGGAATCACATTTACATGGAATTATAAAACCTTTTCTGATGTTCAGACAATTGGGGGGGGGGTAGCGATTTGCATATCAGAGGGTCTCAATATTTGAGGTTTCTGTGGAGATCTGTAGAGGAATCTGAACAGACATTAAAGCGTTTCTATTCGCCATAAGCGACATTTCCAGTGTCTGGCATGGCTCCGGGTTTGCAATAAATCAGCCAATGCATTTATAGAGATGGCAGTGCCCCCTAGTGGAGCGATTGTGCAGCAGAGGCCCCCTTTATTAGTTCAGAGAGGGATTCCTCCGGAAATAAGGCCGGCTCGCAATATTCCCCCACGGAAAGACGTAATCCCCAATCAGCACCTGACAGGATGATCTGTAGACAGAAACCTTGTTAGGTGACACCCCCCTACCCCCGGAGATCTACATATATGTGCCGAGAAGCTTCACTTGTTCATTAACGCACAAAAAGAAACCATTTCTATGGGAATTGAAGATTGTATGTCTTCAGAGTTCAACACCAAGTCACCCCGTTACATGATTCAAGGACATCACATACATAGGTAACGTTCCCGGCAATCATTACTTCCGAAGGAATATGGCTACATTGTATCTGCACTTCATTCAGACGGATTCCGGGATCAGCCGCAAAGATTTATGTATACAATGCTAAAACATCCAGTTAATGGCGGCCCCTGCTAAATATTCTGAGATAAATCCCCTCTCATTGAGCGTCTAGGTTTGTATACTTCATTCCTTCAGATTTATTGTCCAGTTTATTAAATAACAAAGATTCTTTATAGAACTTAGTAACATAGTTTCAGAGTTACATAGTTAGTCTGGCTGAAAAAAAGACAAAAGTCCACCCAGTTCAACCATAGAAAAAAAAAGTTTTATTCCTACACCCACCATTGATCCAGAGGAAGGCAAAAAAAAAAAAAAACAGCAAAGCACGATACAATCTACTGCTGGGAAAAAAAATCCTTCCTGATCCCCCTGAGAGGCAATCGGATATTCCCTGGATAAACTTTCCCTATAACACCACAACCATTCTCAACCACAGTTCCTCCAGAGGTTACTTGGGGTTCCTTGAGCTGTGGATGATTGACCTCCCATCTGATGGCGGCTGCATAGTTCCAGGGCAACACCATTTGGCAGAAACAGCTGCATGACACCAATAATCTTGCTAAGCTGTCTGTAAAAAGATAACTCTTCCCACTGACCACCAATGTAAGGGACATTCTTCCCACTGACCACCAATGTAAGGGACATTCATCCCACTGACCACCAATGTAAGGGACATTCTTCCCACTGACCACCAATGTAAGGACATTCTTCCCACTGACCACCAATGTAAGGAACATTCTTCCCACTGACCCCAATGTAAGGGACATTCTTCCCACTGACCACCAATGTAAGGGACATTCTTCCCACTGACCCCCAATTTAAGGGACATCCTCTCCCACTGACTACCAATGTAAGGGACATTCTTCCCACTGACCTCCAATGTAAGGGACATTCTTCCCACTGACCTCCAATGTAAGGGACATTCTTCCCACTGACCCCCAATTTAAGGGACATCCTTCCCACTGACTACCAATGTAAGGGACATTCTTCCCACTGACCTCCAATGTAAGGGACATTCTTCCCACTGACCTCAATGTAAGGGACATTCTTCCCACTGACCCCCCAATGTAAGGGACATTCTTTCCACTGACCACCAATGTAAGGGACATTCTTCCCACTGACCCCCAATGTAAGGGACATTCTTCCCACTGACCCCCATTGTAAGGGACATTCTTCCCACTGACCCCCAATGTAAGGGACATTCTTCCCACTGACCCCCAATGTAAGGGGCATTCTTCCCACTGACCCCCAATGTAAGGGACATTCTTCCCACTGACCCCCAATTAAGGGACATTCTTCCCACTGACCCCCAATGTAAGGGACATTCTTCCCACTGACCCCCAATGTAAGGGACATTCTTCCCACTGACCCCCAATGTAAGGAGCATTCTTCCCACTGACCACCAATGTAAGGGACATTCTTCCCACTGACCCCCAATGTAAGGGACATTCTTCCCACTGATCACCAATGTAAGGGACATTCTTCCCACTGACCTCCAATGTAAGGGACATTTTTCCCACTGACCACCAATGTAAGGGACATTCTTCCCACACTGACCCCCAATGTAAGGGACATTTTCCCACTGACCCCCAATGTAAGGGACATTCTTCCCACTGACTCCCAATGTAAGGGACATTCTTCCCACTGACCACCAATGTAAGGGACATTCTTCCCACTGACCTCCAATGTAAGGGACATTTTTCCCACTGACCACCAATGTAAGGGACATTCTTCCCACAGACCCCCCAATGTAAGGGACATTTTTCCCACTGACCCCCAATGTAAGGGACATTCTTCCCACTGACCCCAATGTAAGGACATTCTTCCCACTGACCTCCAATGTAAGGGACATTCTTCCTACTGACCCCCAATGTAAGGGACATTCTTCCCACTGACCCCCAATGTAAGGACCATTCTTCCCACTGACCTCCAATGTAAGGGACATTCTTCCCACTGACCCCCAATGTAAGGGACGTTCTCACTGACCGCAATGTAAGGGACATTCTTCCCACTGACCCCCAATGTAAGGGACATTCTTCCCACTGACCTCCAATGTAAGGACCATTCTTCCCACTGACCTCCAATGTAAGGGACATTCTTCCCACTGACCCACAATGTAAGGGACATTCTTCACTGACCACCAATGTAAGGGACATTTTTCCCACTGACCCGCAATGTAAGGGACATTCTTCCCACTGATCACCAATGTAAGGCTCATTCTTCCCACTGACCCCCAATGTAAGGGACATTCTTCCCACTGACCACCAATGTAAGGGACATTTTTCCCACTGACCACTGACATTTTTCCCACTGACCCGTAATGTAAGGGACATTCTTCCCACTGATCACCAATGTAAGGGACATTCTTCCCACTGACCACCAATGTAAGGGACATTCTTCCCACTGACCCCCAATGTAAGGGACATTCTTCCCAGTGACCCGTAATGTAAGGGACATTCTTCTCAACCCCCAATGTAAGGACATTCTTCCCACTGACCCCAATGTAAGGGACATTCTTCCCACTGACCACCAATGTAAGGGACATTCTTCCCACTGACCCCAATGTAAGGACATTCCCCACTGACCCCCAATGTAAGGGACATTCTTCCCACTGATCACCAATGTAAGGGACATTCTTCCCACTGATCACCAATGTAAGGGACATTCTTCCCACTGATCACCAATGTAAGGGACATTCTTGATCCCAATGTAAGGGACATTCTTCCCACTGACCACCAATGTAAGGGACATTCTTCCCACTGATCACCAATGTAAGGGACATTCTTCCCACTGACCTCCAATGTAAGGGACATTCTTCCCACTGACCACCAATGTAAGGGACATTCTTCCCACTGACCCCCAATGTAAGGGACATTCTTCCCACTGACCCGCAATGTAAGGGGTTAGGATCAGCAAAGGGATTAGGATCAATGAAGGGGTGAGGATCAGTGGTGGGGTTCAGATCAGCGATGGGGGGTTTGGATCAGCGATGGGGTTTGGATGAGTGAAGGGGTGAGGATCAGCGAAGGGATTAGGATGAATGAAGGGGTAAGGATCAGCGATGGGGTGAGGGTCAGAGATGGGGTTCTGGATCAGCGATGGGGTGAGGATCAGCGATGGGGTTCTGGATCAGCGAAGGGGTTCGGATCAGCGAAGGGGTTCGGATCAGCGATGGGGTTCGGATCAGCGATGGGGTTCGGATCAGCGAAGGAGTTAGGGTAAGTTTTTTTGCCACAAGAACAGGTCCAGAATAAGTAAAAAGAGCTTTACAACCTTTAGAAGCCATTTAAATCCCATTGCACCCTTGACCAAACACCACCATCATCTCCATTTATCAACTGACTGCGATGCATTTTGCTGAAATAGCCAAATTTCCACGAAATGTCCCAACACTTACTTTGGCAAAGCCAGATTCCCAGTCTGGCTCATCCTCAATGGTAATTTAAAAGCCCACCTGTAACGGACATGTAAGATTTGAGTGGAAATATGGAATCATAGCCATGACAGGTGAGTAGATTAGATTATGTCAGGCCCTTTCATTGCAAAGGTGTGTGCAGGAACAGTCTGGTCATTAAGGATGTACATTGAGCCCCTGGGCAGTAGGGAAATGAATAGAAGGTACAAACAAATGGTCTGGGGTCAGATATGTATGTATACACAATTACTCCATAGGCCTTACAGACCCAATCATCATTTAGCATTAATTAGTCCTCCTGGAGGTGACACCTTTTGTGTGTCAATCAGGTTATCACCTTCTGGGAAAACCAGTGACAGCAGACAGACTGTCTGCCTTACGTGGAAAGCTCTATAGGTAATATTCACATAAAAGGAGGATGTTTAATCTCTTATAAAAGCCAAAATATTAGTTGCAGAGATATGAACATGCTTCCTTCTTGTAGGCCATTCTGTACGCTGCATTTGCATATGAAAATCATATTTGTGGCTTGGGGAGAAAGCCAGGAAAATGCATGGAATGATTAGATGACGCGGGGGTGCGACAGTCGGATGGTGTTTGGTACTGTTGTGATCGGGCTGACGCGCTGGTGTCAGAAATCCAATCCCCGACTTGGTGTTCAGGCCAGTCTCGGCCCAATTGAACTTGGGCAGGTCCATACACAGTACCTCTTGTGGGCAGGTCAGGACCACCTCCCCCAGAGTCAATTGGCCGAAGACTAATGTCCCGCTCATGTCCAAATCGCCATAAATTGAACGCACGGACATTTGGACAGGGTGATCCGTACGGAGCTGGCTTCGATCGACCAATGGATTGCTAAGTTTCTGGCTTGCTCCAGCTGCAGGGTAAAGTGTTATTCTGTCTTTTTATTCCCGTTTTATTTTATAGTAATTAGTCTTTTGTGTGTCTTCTTATATCTTTTGCATTTCTGTAACTTTTTATATTTGTACATATTTTATGCACTGCCCACTTTGGGAAATTAAATCTTAAAATTAATTAGTGAACTTCTGTGTATTTAAGCTCGGGCTCATATCTTCGGAGAGACTAGATCGGAGAGATTAGATTGGGGTATATTGTATTGTATTTTAGTGCCTTTAAAACGCTCGATTAAGCTCATTGCCAATCTGTATGCAACTGCACTGTGAGTGGGCAGATTGCACGCAGATTGCAAAGCTAACAGATCTGCCAGACGGAGATCTGTGTGTGTGGGGTGTCTCAACAGACCGTTCTGCGGATAAACTGTTGGATGGTGGCAGGCTACCTTTGTGGTGCATCTGGTGTGGGGGTGTGTGGACAGTGGAAGGGTTATCAACACCGGGGTTCAAGCTAGGATAGCTGAAGGGACCTTTAGAAGGGTGTGTGATTACTAAGCTGGTCCTCAACTCTAATCAGGGCACCAGGTTGTATGTAAGATCATATCTGCCAGTGTGTGGTCGACCAGCTGGATTGGAGTGGAGTCTCCATCTGGTGGTGGCCAGAGGTAGTGCGGGCTGTGAAAAGGTATCACGGCTGATCTTATATACGGTTTGAGATATTTAAGTGTAAATCCCTTTATTATCCCCTATTTACCACCCGCACGCGTGCGTCACGGTTAGCTAGTCGCTGCGGGCGTGGCGTGTGGTGGACACGTGACAGGGTGATCGTTAACGGATCCTTGACACCACCTTTTTTTTTTCCAGGTTCACGAAGATCCAGAACACAAAAGTGACCATGAAAAAGGACGGCATCAACTCCTTGCACTACCGTGTCGTCCACTTCGCCAAATACGCCATGTACACGAACATCACAGTGGATATTGGTAAACCGCCTCCGCGACCGGCTCGGGGGTGATGGACTTCAATGGCCGCTCCACGGCACTCTGTCTTCTCAACCTCCTTGGAGGCCCACTGGGGGGTCTTCTGAGCAGATGAACTGACGCGGACTCTGACCCCCCCCCCCCCAGCGGGGCCCTCGCTCTGGGATCTTCCGGCTGGACAGCGGAGCTCCGTCTGGTTACTCTCACCAACCCATGATCTGCTATTCCTGTGGTGCATTTAGGTGGTTCCTCAGAAGATGGTTGGGAGGTGCACCACAAAAGCTGATCTACTGTGATCTGCCCCGAACGCTCGCCGTGCGCAGACAATATGCTGGAAGCATTTTGTCACTTTCTCGTTTCTCACAATGTATAATTGTCTTTTTATAAGCTGAGTCTTCTTCTTTTTGTGTTGTTTTCATCTTTGGACGCGTTGTTGGGTGAAGGTTTCACCGGGAAACTTCAGGGCAGCTATGGGGGGGGGGACGCGAGCGTGCTGTCGCTGATGATGTCACCGATGATGTAATGTATGTTGTGGAATGTTTAGTCAGCTTCCCACCAGTCTTTCTGTAAGGGAGCATTGAACTGGAGCAGAAAACGCAGAAATCGCACCCATCCTCCGCCCTCCGGAGCCGACCCCTAGAAATACCGCTCCCCAACTTTGAAAAAGTTACTTTGAATGGACGGCGATGAGTTTAGTGCCCGTTCTGTTGCAGATTTACAATTTGGAGTCCCAGATTTCCCGATTATTGTCCCACAGTCCAAGGGGAACCACACACTGCTGTGTCCAAAGCTTCTAATCGCACCATTTATGGTGGAGGAGGTGGTCAATTGGGGTTTCCTATGGAGTCTGAATGCTCATAGCACTGTCTCTGCCTGTATGTGGCTTCACCCATTTCTGTAATTTATGCACAAAGCCATCATGTCCAAGTCCTGCTACACAATCTGCAGGTGATTTCGCTTTTCCCCTCCCCCCACATGCATTTTTTTTCTTGAGTATTAACTATTGATAGGTATTGTATTATTACTCATTTAATGATTTAAAAGCACATGACATTCCCCTCCCATACCTCCAAATTATGTCATGGCACCCCTTCGCGGTCAGGGCGGAGGTTTGCGGTCTTTACGTTCTGTCCCGGTCTTATCGGTTTCACGTGTTTCAGCTGGTGGAGATGGTTTTCTATAAATGAACCTTAACCAGGACATGCATGAGAACCCCTTACAGATATACACAGGCCATGCATGTAGTTTATACACATATATTGGGCAGGTGTGAAATGGGCCTTATTTCAGAATATCAGCATGTGGACAGTGTTTGAGCGAGAGATACAAGGATCCAACATATGAGAACTCGCTGCCTTATCTCCCTGGGGAAGGAGAGTTGGAGCTGTATGGGAACTTTGTGTCAGGTGCTGCCAGATTTGGTGCCAAAAATGCTGAGTGGAGAGTTGAGGCCTGAGAAGATGGCAGGTGAAGGGCTGAGGCCTGAGAAGATGGCAGGTGAAGTCCTGAGGCCGGAGAAGATGTGAGTTCAAGGGAAGAGGGCAAGATGAGGGATGAGGTCTAGGAAGATGGCAGGTGGAGGGCTAAGGCCTGGGAAGATGGTGGGTAGAGGGCTGAGGACTGTAAAGATGGGCAGAAGGTTGAGGCCTAGGAACATGGCGGCTGGAGGACTGAGGCTTTGGAGGATGGCAAGAAAAGAACTTAGGCTTGGGAAGATGGTGGGAGAAAGGCCGAGGCCTGGGAAGATAAAGGGCTGAGGCCTGAGAAGATGGTAGGTGAAGGTCTGATGCCTGGGAAGATGGTTAGAGAAGGGCTGAGGCCTGGGAAGATGGTGGGTGAGGGACTGAGGCCTGAGACCTGAAAATATGGCAGGTGGAGGGCTGAGGCCTGGGAAGATGGCTAGAGAAGGGCTGAAGCCTGTGAAGATGGACAGAGGGTTGAGGCCTAGGAACATGGTGGCTGGAGGACTGAGGCTTGGGAGGATGGCAAGCAAAGGGATGAGGCTTGGGAAGATGGTTGGAGAAAGGCCAAGGCCTGGGAAGATGAAGGGCTGAAGCCTGTGAAGATGGTTAGAGAAGGGTTGAAGCCTAGGAACATGGTGGCTGGAAGACTGAGGCTTGGGAGGATGGCAAGCAAAGGGACGAGGCTTGGGAAGATGGTTGGATAAAGGCTGAGGCCTGGGAAGATGAAGGGCTGAAGCCTGTGAAGATGGTAGGTGAAGGTCTGATGCCAGGGAAGATGGTTAGAGAAGAGCTGAGGCCTGGGAAGATGGTGGGTGAGGGACTGAGGCCTGAGACCTGAAAATATGGCAGGTGGAGGGCTGAGGCCTGGGAAGATGGCTAGAGAAGGGCTGAAGCCTGTGAAGATGGACAGAGGGTTGAGGCCTAGGAACATGGTGGCTGGAGGACTGAGGCTTGGGAGGATGGCAAGCAAAGGGATGAGGCTTGGGAAGATGGTTGGAGAAAGGCCAAGGCCTGGGAAGATGAAGGGCTGAAACCTGTGAAGATGGTTAGAGAAGGGTTGAAGCCTAGGAACATGGTGGCTGGAAGACAGAGGCTTGGGAGGATGGCAAGCAAAGGGACGAGGCTTGGGAAGATGGTTGGAGAAAGGCTGAGGCCTGGGAAGATGAAGGGCTGAGGCCTGA